CCTGGGGCAGCCCCAGGTGGCCGCGGGGGAGGGGGCGGGGACAAAACTCTGCCACGAAAGCCGCGCCTGGAAGCTTCTTGGAGGGGTGGGCTCCCCACCCTGACCCACAGAAGCAGAGGCTCAAGGAGCATGTCCCTGGAGGCAGGGACCGGAGTCCCCCAAGTTCCCTTCACCTGGGGCCCGGCCGAGGAAGAGCCCTCAGGGGCTGGAGCAGGCCCTGGCCCTTGTGCCACGCTCAGGCACCCTTCCTTGCTGGCGTGGGGCTGGCCTCGGTAGGTGAGGTGAAGTTTGCCTGGCTGCCCAGGCCTCTCTCCCACCCCAGCAGCACCACAGCATGCTGTGGACTTCCTGCGGGGTGGGACTGTCATCCCCAGTTCAGGCCCATAGGAGGCCCTCCCTGGGATCTGACCCTTGAGAGGAGAAGTGTTGGCACTGGAACTCGGTCCCCCCCACTTCTGCACACCCATACCCCCTCCCGGCCTCTACCTGACACCCCTGCCATGCAGGCTCCTGCTGGGGCTCCGACTTGCCAGCCCCACCTGCTCCTCCAGCCTCCTGTGCATTCTGTGAGCTCTGACATTCTTCCAGTAAATTCCCTTTGGCTTTGACTAGCCAGGGCTGCCCTCCACCTGCCTCCCCAGGCCAGGCCCCGCCCTGTCCTGCAGGACCCAGCACACAGTCAGACCTCAGGTCCCACCATCCAGGACCTCTGCCCTCAGGGGAGGAGAAATAACCTCCCTCTCTCCCTCCACCCTGCTGAGGGAGCCCCACCTGCAAGGACAATTCAGGGCCCCTTGCCCCTGCCTTGGGCGGGGCAGGGCTCAGCCACAGGGAGCTTCAGCAGGGAGATGGGGGTAGGGGAATCAGGATAATGATCTCCTGAACTGCCTCCTCAAAAGGTCACCTTGGGTTGGCCTGGTCCCCCACCCGTCAGCTCTGCTCTCTGGGCCCGGGGTTCCTGCCCTGCTCCAGGAGTGCCCTGCACCCCACCCATCTCTGTGTGTATGCAAGCTCTCTGCTCTCCCCCCATGCTCCTAATGTGAGTGTCCCTCCATGTCCCTCCTGGAAATGTGCCAGGGCTGGATTGACATTGACAAAGCAGCCTGTCAACTTTTTATTCTTGTGATAATCTTCAAAAAACATCAATTTCATAGAGACAACAATTCTCCCTGAATTGTAATCTACAAGTTTTATTGAGTTCCAGTTTTTAAAAAATTGTAACTAGGAAAAATGGTCCTGATTTCTTTTCATGAGAAAGTAGACTTGAAATAAAAGCTAGAAAGTTTTGCAAAGGAAAAGTAAAAACACAGGACTAGTTCTACCAGACATAAAGCCTGTTATGGAATGGTGACTAGTGAGAACGTGGTGCTGTTACACACATAAAAACATGGAAGGATCTGGAAAATAGGAATAGACACAGATCACATGGGAATTCAGGAATTCAGCATGTGATGGAGATATTTCAAATCTGTAGAGAAAAATGTGATTACCTAGTAAAGAAAGCTGTCACGAGTAGGGGCTACTTGGGAAATACGTGCATATACTGCAATGGACTGAATGTTTACATCCCTCCAAATGTCCTGTGTTGAAATCCTCAGCTCCAAAGTGACAGTGTTAGGAGGTGGGGCCTTGGGGAGGCGATTAGGTTGTAAAGGTGGAGCCCTCACAGAAGAGATCCCAGAGAGTGGCTTTGTCCCCTCCACCTTGCAAGGACACAGAGAATCTGGAAGCCGGGCCCTCACCAGACACCCAGTCCTCTGGTGCCTTGATTCTCGGACCTCCAGCCCCAGACCATTAGAAATAAATGTTTGTTCATAAGCCTCCCAGTATGTGTCCTTTTGCTACAGCAACCCGAACAGACTAAGACATATGTAGATCGCTATTTTGCTCCTTACATCAAAATACATT